AGCTCAGGAAATCAGCAAACTCTACAAATTATGGATTTATTGTTTTGTTGACTATAGACTTGAGAAAGTGAGGGGAAAATGTGAATAATGGCGATTAAACTTAAAAGTTGTGTCCTGCATACATTGTTTTTGTTGTTATTGTTTTCATTCTAGAGAGTCAGTTCTTAAACATTTACCATCACACCCCCAGCTAGGCCCCAAGTTTCCTGACCAGCAGTCTACCACATTGGTTCTGAAAATGGGGAGGGGGAAGGGAGGAAAGAATTACATATGAACTAAAACTATATAAAATAATTCTGAGCTCTGCTCACTACAGCGAAGTTGAATAGCAGCTATTTTCCTTTTGCTTATTATCTAGGGCAAGTAGCAATAACCCTGACAAATGTAAAGGAACTACTAATGACTTACACAAGCATCACAAACTTAAATTTTGGATCCCCATTTTAAACTTTCTAATGGGAGCTTTTTCTAGCTCATTGCCCTTTTCAAAACACCCTCCCTCCTATTCCTCCATACTTCCAAGATTTCTGTTTGCTGTAGCAGTCAACTTGGACAGTAACCATAGTAACAGCACATAAGTAGCAGGTAGTGATGGTAGTAATAATAATCACAGCATTAGTTCATACATACATAGCAGCTTATAGTTAGAGTATTTTACATAGATTTTTTTTTTGATCCTCTGAACAAGCCAGGAAACTACACCATAATACCCTGTATTATTAGTCCTGTTTTACAAATAAGGAAACTGAGGTTCACAGAGACTAACTTGCTCAAAGTCACAAACAGTGACAGAGCTGACAATTAAACCTAGGACTAACTAGTGTGGTACAGTGGAAAGAGTACTAGACTTAAAATCAGAAGATCTGGGCTCAAAACCACTCTCTGGTACTACTTGTATTATCTTAGGTAAATTACTTGACCACTTTGGGCCTCAGTTTCCTCATATGTAAAATGAAGGAGGTTGCCTCTCAGGTCCCTTACTGTTTGAAAATATACGATCCCATGACTTTTCCCCACATAGAGAAGACTTTTAAGAATACTATGCTTGTGCAGTTGGGGAAAGGAAAAAAAAAGATTTTCAGTATTGTATATTGAAAAAAAATACAGAGGTCTGAATGGTTAGAGTGAGGCACTCATCTCTCTTTTGTTATATCTGGGAAGATTTTGTTAAGGAGATGGAATTTCATTTCTTGGGAAACACTTGACCATTTTATTCCTTCTTAATTTTGCACAGAGATTATGTACCAGGTTGTCTGATACAATCTAGTATTTGCCTCTCTTGCTGGAGTAAGTTTTAAGAGTCATTTGCTTGCATGCAATTTTTTCCAAGGTAGTCAAGATTGCATGTATTTTGAAGAGTTTTCTGGGCATGTAAATGTTTGCTTCTGCCTTCAGCATCAGAATTTTCAGCATAGGGTGCCAGTACTTTTAAGGGAAAATTAGACTTTAGTTTTCCCTTTTTGGGAAAAAATATTATATAATATGTATAATACATATATATGTGTTTTCTGTCTCTCTCTGTCTGTCTCTGTCTCTCTCCAGAATTTGTTTGTTCTGGCAGGTACCTGAACAGTAACCATAGCAATAGCACATAAATAGCAGTCATAGTATCTATCTATCTCTATTATCTATCGATCTATCTATGCCTGCCCTTCTAAGGGGACTGAGCATTGCAACAGCAGCTCCAGATGTGGGGATACCTTTTACATTTTCTCCCCCCAAAAAAACTAAAGGAGAAAAAATATTTAACATCTGTCTCCCTCACTCCATCCTCCAGTCACCTCTTAGGAATCTTACTCTTTTGTACTGGAGCGGGAAGGATAAGAAAGTAGGAAGTATGACATGGTATTTGCACGTCCATTGATCCGAAGTCCAAAGTGGTTAGTTTCATTTGTATCTCCAGCCACATGTTTGGTTCAGCAGCATCTGTAAAGCTCTGAGGTACCTACCCTAAGGAGCTCGAAACCGAAAAAGCCGCTAGTCGAAGCAGACCCAACAGAGGGCGTCCTGTCTCCAGCACAGACCCACCAAACATTTGCTGCGTTAGGGGGAGGAGGTAGAGAGGAAAGGGGATGAGACTACAGTCATAGGATCATTTTTCTTTTCAAAAGATAAGAATGTCTTAGTTTCTGGTTGGCTCATTAAGGTACAATCACTGGATTGCAGTTTATTAAAGCACATTCCCTGGGTTATAGCAATCAACTAACCCACTTTACCAGAATCTGGCGCAGCTGGAGACGTCGGTGGAGGTGGGGCCTCAGCGCCCCAGCTGCAATAATCCTCCTGGCTGGGCTCGTTCCGCATTCCATCCGGTTGGAAATAACAGGGGGAGGAGCCTTGAATCTGGAGGAAACTGGCCCAGATACAAACTTTCACTTAGGGAGCTAATTCTATATTTGTGTGTTTCCCTTTGCTTACTCGAATCAATATCTCTATCCCTACTCTTTTCATCTCATCATCAGCTGAAATATTTTCCCATCTCTCGAACAATTTTTTTACGATAATTGAAAAAAATGTTCAGAAGAATCCACTGACGTTCTTATCTTGAGAATTTTTTTCTTTTATTTATTGCACAATTTGGAAATATTGTTTTAAAGTTAATTTCTTAGTTTGCTCATGTTGAATTTGGAGGTTCTCAGGAAAGTTGACACTCCCCAGTGTTGGGTATGGTATCGAGGGAAGATTATGGTTCCTTCTCCTTTGGATTTAGATATAGCCCTTTAAACTTTTTTTTTCCTCCTCTTTTATTTCGGGGGGTGTGGCCCCGGCGCTTCTTCCAAGCTGCTGATCTGGGAAGTTAGATCCGCCCTCTTGTAGCCTTAACTTTCCTTCTCTAAACTTTTTCCCTCTTCATAGTGTCCCACCTCCCCCATCTCTCCTCCGCCCCTGTTTTCTTAGATGCTTTTAAATCATGAGCGGCAAGGAGAAGTTTGTAGTAGAGGTGATAAAAGGTGAGTCTTGCACCAAGGGGACACCCAGCCTTGCTTGACTTGGAGAAACTGCTCTGACCTCCACCTCGGGAGCAGGGTGGGAGGAGAGTATAGGAGGGCCGAGGGAGAGAGTTGAGACCCCTGCCGCAGCTCTAGCGTTTCTTATGTAGTTTCCAGGACACAGGATCTTTCTAGGGAAACCTCAACTTGCTGGAGGTTTCTTCTGCCCCCAGCCCTTGGCAAGACAGTCTGAAACTAAAAAAAAATTATAGCATGGTATTAAAAAGGGGAGGGAAGAATCAAAAAATTTGCTTCTTTACATTTTTGTCTTGTATACTCCAAGAGTCACTACAGTGTAGAGAATGGGAGAGAAAGAATTAAGCTGGGTACTTTCCCTGAAATACAGAATGATTGAACCTACTGGTCAGGTCCAGTACCCTGTGAGGGTCGTGCAAGTCCTCCATCAGAACTCTTGAGTTCTGGAACTTGGGGCTCTTTCTTAATTAATCCTTTTAAAAGGAAAAAATCCACTAACTATATTGGTTGCTTGGGGGAAGTATATAAATGCTTTTTAATGTGGGATTTTATAATAGTAATTTTGTGCATTAACTTATTGCATTTGGGGTTTGTAATTGTAGACATTTAAATGATGCGTTTTTTCAAGTAATTTGTAAGTGTGGTTGCAGAAATCGAGTGAGTTCAGTGTAGGTCAAGACCTTTAGAAGTTACAGTTTTGAGGATCAATGCCGACTGGCGTCGTTAGTTTCTTACCACTAGTTGTACTGAAAATAGAATTTAAAAAAAAAAAGAATCAGTCTGCATTTTGCGACATTTTAAAGCAAAAATGAGCATGTCACTATTGCTTTTTTGTGGACTTTATAGCTATGGGTGGTTTCTGGGGGAAGCTTAAAGACAAAGATTTCCGAGGGAAGAGGGGTGGAGCCTAGTAACACTACTTCGTAGTCTGCTGCTTGGTTGCTGTTTAACTGTTCTAGGGGACTCTGTATTTTCTGCAATTCCAAAGGTCCGACTCCAAACTGATAGAAAAGCCAACCCTTGTGGCGTTTGTATTTTGAACAGTACCCTAGCCTTTTAAAATAATAATAATAATAATGATAATGATAATAAAAACCCTAGTGCTTGGGCATGTAACCCTTTGTTTAAAAAAATGTGGCATAAAGACATGGATTGCTTTCGTTTGGTTCTTTGCTTTCTCTGAACTTCATTTAGAAGCAAAAAGAATCTCCTTCCTTAAAAATAACCCTCTAAGATGGCTTTATGGTTGAAACATTTGGTGTATGCCTTAAGGCTGCATTAGCAATTTTTTTCAGGATGTTCTAAACATGAACAAATAGGGTATTATAGAAAAAGTTTTACAGTGTATGCTGGCTGTTTACAAATGCTATAATTAGCTGAAACCTCAGGCTTTCAACTATTCTAAAAAACAAGTGGTAGAAATTTGTGAGTTCGTCCAAAAATCAGGCAATGTAATTCTATGGGAAGTCATTTATTCCTGCTTAAATTCAATGGGTGAAAGGTCATAGGATCACAGATTAAGAGCTGAAAGGAATCTTAAAAGTCAGCTAGTCCAGCCTCCTCATTCTGCAGGTGAAGAAACTGAGACCCAAAGAGATTAAATGAATTGGCAGTGTCACATAATGGCAGAGGTAAAATTTGAACCTAGGACTTCTGACCACAAACCTAGACCTTAAATCGTTATGGGCAGCTAGGTGGTGCAATGGATAGAGTACCAGCCCTGGATTCAGGAGGACCTGAGTTCAATTCTATCTCAGACATATAACACTTAGTAGCTGTGTGACCCTGGACAAGTCACTTAACCCCATTGACTAACCAAATTAAAAAAAATCGTTATAATTGATTGAAACAGTTTGCATTTTTTATTATTCACCAATTGAGTTTCCTAGTTTGTGGAAACATGCATGAAAAATAAGTTTGTAATAAAAGAAATCTGAGAGGATTTGGATAACTTAAAAGACTTTTTTTTCCTCTGAAGAAATCAAGCTTGTCATTTTAAGAGTAGTATTAGTTGTGACTTTTTTTGCATTTCAGATCGCCTTTGTTTTGCCATTCTTTACCAGAAACCAAAGAGTGCTGCAAACATACACTATTTCTCCATAGATGACGAATTTGAATATGAGAAGTAAGTATTATCTTGTGCTCTTCTAAAATTATAGGGAATCTATTCATTTTTCACTAAGCTAGAAGAGCACCTTAGTACAGAATAGCCTTAAAGACATATTAGTTTTTTGGGATTGGATTGGATAATTGGATTATAGAGATTCCATTAATAAATTTCATCCTTCCTTCATGGTAGAATAGATTTTGGATGGGGGTGGGTGGGGAGATTATGCTTTTTCCCCCCTCAAGTTTCAGAAACAATTTGTCCAAAATCATAGAATGTTAAGAACTGGAAGGGAGTTTAGAATTCATCTGTTCTAGTTCAGGCATATATATTTTGAAATTTATGCTAATATTATATTAAACTGAGTTTGATAAAATAGGATGTGCTTTACATTACTTACCAGTGGAAGAAAAAAATTTGTCAGATGTAACAGTTTTTCCCTCAAAGGTGTTTTCGAATTACTAGTGTGAGAATAGAAAATATTTGTTAAATGTATTCATTGTGGTCATTTATTTTTGGAAGCTTTGTGTTTGCCAATGTTTCCTCCATAACAAAGCAATATCTTTAAATTGTTTGTCCAGTAATAGCATATTAAGTTGTGTGTTTTTCTTGTAATTTGATCTGCACAACAAAAACAGGCATTTATGCAGAAAATCCAAGCCATACCTATACAATTTTGTTTGTTTTCACTTTTAAAGCTTCTTCGCAGATTTTGGACCACTCAATCTGGCAATGGTTTACAGATATTGTTGCAAGATAAATAAGAAATTAAAGGTAAACTATTTTTTTGGTAGCAGATTGGTTTTAAGTAATCAGCATTGGTCTAGTCTGAAAAAGAAAACATTCCTCTTCAAAAGAGTAGTCTCAGGTATTTTAGAATGACTTATGATGTTTCTTATGCATTTAGAGAAGGCACCTATATATTTTATTTTTTGTTTTGTTTTAGAAAGAAACTACATATATATGTACATATATGTTATCATTTTGGGTGAACAGTTCTTGTTTATGCCTCTACTGTTTTGATTCTTATTGGTTGTATTTGTGGCAGGATTTTAAGAATCATAATAGCCACTGTATAATACGGACAATGCAGTAGTATCTATACCAGTGGAGTTGAGGCATAAGCATAAACTGATCTCATGTTTTCATTAATCATTATTTTTTTTGCATTGTGTTAGACCGAAAAAGATCTGTTTTACAAATGATGAAACTGAAGCCTAGGAGATGAAATTACTTCCCCAAACCACATAGATATGTAGAAAGTGGGAGGACCTGGTCTTATCCTATGCCCAGTGTCCTTTCCATTATACCTCCCACTACTCACCTTTGATAAGAAATGCCAGCAAAAAAAAGGAGTGATTTCTTTGTTCGCTTGGGTAAATTTTGAACCTTGTTGATCATGTACTAGGTCAGACTATTCTGGGCCAGGCTTAACTCAGTCCAACAGTTCAGCTTTCGGGAGTAGGGGGCAATAAAACACTAGTAACCAAGGATAAAAAATTATGTAACTCCTAACTCACAACATTACAATGTTAAATTCCCATAGGCTGAGCCTTTATGCCTCAGGCTGCAAGGAAGTCAAACAGTCTTTCTTTCCTTATAGCACCTGCCCAACCTACATAAAACTGGTGACACTTTTATCACATAGACCTTCTTAACCTCCTCACTCTAATGTAAATACATGGTACTTTTGTTTGCCAATTTGGCGTAGGTCAGTTGAAACAAAAAGGGTGTCAGGTAACTTGCTCCTGAAAGACAGTGTACTGTAGTATATTTTGCTTGCTTTAGCAGTACAAAATAAGAAAAGCAGGCAGGTTTAAAAAAAAAGAAAGGAATGTTAAAGCTTTATATTGTCATTGATAACTTATGTTAAAACATGTTAATGAGGAAAGGTCCTATTTAACATCATGAATAATTAACATTAGTCCATTTTCCATTATAATCAGAGGATATCAGTGTCAGAAGGGATCCTGATGCCCGTCTAGTCTAATTTGTAATTGAACAAGAATTCTCCAGTTCTTGCTGGACTAATGATCTACCAGCCTTTGTTTGAAGCTCTTTAGGGAAGAGAAGCTACCACCTTCCAAAGCAGCCTCTTATAATTTTGTATAACAAAATTGTTAAAATAAAAAATAAAACCCTTCCATCAAGCCTAAATTTTTTTTTCTTTAAAAAAAATCATTTATACTCATTTTTTTATTCCTAGTTCTGCTTTCTGGGACTGAGCAAAAATGTTGAATCCCCTTTTCATATGGCAGCTCTTCAAATACTTAAAAATGATTATAATATTCCTCCTAAGTCTTCTGTTCTCCAGGGTAAAAATCCCTAGTTTCTTCAACTGAGATGTGGCATGGTCTAGAGTCCCGTCATCATTCTAGCCATCATTCTTGGGACCCTCTGTAGCTTATCCATATCTTTCCTATAAATAATGCCCCAAACTGAATATACTATGCCAAAAGTATTCTGATCAGAATAGTAGAAGAAACTTCACCTCACTAGTCCAGGACACTATGCTTAAAACCCATTTAGTTTTTAAGCTACCTTACGATGAAGTTGACTCATTTAGTCTACAGTCAACTAAAATGGTACGTCTTTCTAAGACTAACTGCTTGGTAGTCATGCCTTTTCCATTTTATACTTCTGAAATTGATTTTTGTGCACCAAAATATAAAATGTTATTTTTGTCCTCATAAAGTTTAATCTTAATGGATTTGGCCTAATATTTTAGACTGGCCAGATCTTTTGAGATCCTGATTCAATCTTACAGTATATTATCTATCACTCCTAGCTTTGTGCCATTCTCAAGCCATTGATTAAAAAAAAAATTGAATAGCACCTTGTCAACTATATTGGTAGGTATATAATTAAATGAGCAGTGAACTTGGAATAAGGAAGGTCTGAGTTCATATACTGCCTCAACCCTGGGCAAGTCACTTAATTTCTTTCTGCTTCAGTTTCCTCATCTGTAAAATGAGGATAATAGCACAGAATTATTGTGAAGGATCCAAGGAGATAATATATGTAAAGAGATTTGCAAACTTTAAAAGAGCTGTTAGTATAGATCCCTGGGAAACACCACTAGAGACCTCTTCCAGAGTTGATGTTAAACTGTTAATGACCCTTCTTTGGGCCTGGGTTAGCCAGTTTCAAATTCACTTAAATGTGCTATCACTTAACAAACATCTCTTCATATTGTTCATACATATAGTCAAGACTTTATCAAATACTTGGCTAAAGCCTAAGTAAATAGCTACAGTATGGTCAACCAGTCTACTAATCCTCTGATGTTACCTGTCAGAAAAAAAACAGGAAATGAGATTAGTCCAATGTGACTTATTAGTCTTTAGAAGTAGATTTTAGAAGTTAGACATAGACATATTAGTCTAATATGAAACCAAATTGGCTCATTGAGATTACTAATCCTTTGAATTTTTTTAAGAAAAAATATTTCAGATATTTTCTATTGATTGTATTATATATGCATTATTACACCCAAACATGAAATAACTAGTATTCTTTAACTTTAATAATTATGTTATATGCATGTATTTATAAGTGTATAGAAGAAGCACTCATTTTCATTTTATAAAGTTCCCCACCTGCTCCATGATGCAGTGAGATACTAGCACCAACTGACAATGGAACTTCAGACACTCTCCCTAACTTTTTGGATAACAAATTTCCATCACTATTTCTTCTTCTTTCTCAACTGTTTACCAGCCACAGTCAATAACAAACATTTATTCAGCACCCACTATGTGCCAGGCACTGTGCTAAGTGCTGGGGATATAAATATGAAAAAAGAGAGTCCCTGCCCTCAAGGAGCTTGCAATCTAATGGGCAAAGACAACATAAAAAAAGAAAGCTGAAAAGCCAGGGAGGAGGGATGGTGTAGAAGTCAGAGAAGTCCCAGAAGTCACCCTCAGCCAAGTGAGAAACAAGACATTTTCAGCCGACCTCCTTCCTTAAATGGGAGGTTTTGGAGATGATGGCTCTAGCTTTGAGGCAGAGGGGCAGAGGGAAGCAACCCCACTGAAGCTGATGGGGTCTTGCAGGGTGATGAGATTTTCTCAATAATGAGCTTCCTGGAGCATGACATAATGAAGATATCACTTTAATAATGTATTGCCAAGCTTGCTGGTCTCTATCTTTAGTCTTTCCTTTAAAAAAAAAAAATCTGGACAGTACCTGTCCTTCCATGTTGTGCTGCCTCCTTTTATTGCACAATTTCTTTTAAAGACTGCTGACCATGGTCCTGTCATAATGTCTGCCAGTTCTTTCTCTGTAATCCTGTGTTGTCGTTCATCTGGGCCTGTGACTTGAACTCATCAAGGGCAGCCAGTTGCTCTCTTGCTATCTCCCTATTTATCTTGACTATCAGCTCCTCCACAGTTATTTCAGTACAGTTCTTTCTAGTTCAAAGGTCTTTCTCTTTGACTCAGAAAAGAGCAGCTAACTAAGTGCTGAGCAATTCCACCTTCTCTCCATCATGCATTATCGCATCTACTGCAAGCAGGGCTGCTGACTTTCCTTATAGCTTATTTTCCCCAATATGGCTTATTTTTTCTAAATGGCTTTTTTGTTCTCTTTATATTCCTTCCATTTTTGTTTTGTTTACCAGAATCATACTTGCTTTTTGTCTTTATTCTGTAACCTGGCCTTAGTTTTCATTCTCTTCACATACTCTTAAAAATCTGCTTTGATCAATCATTTCCCTTTACATCCTTGTCAATCTCTTTAGACAGCTCCCCCTTTTTCTCCTTACTGAATTTCTTTCCTTCTCATTTTGTGTCTTCTAGATTTCATTCTTGAGAGTTTTGCATCCTCCTTGAGTTATTTACCTTATCAGTGTTTTTTCCATGGTACCTGAATTTTTTAAAAGCTGCTCTTCCAACTAGTGTGCATATATTGCTCATATTGCTTAAAACTCTGTACCAAATTCTAAAATGGAGTGATAACTTTTCCACTGAGGTTACCATTATTTCCACTCTAGCAACCACTTCCTACCTGTAGGTGAAAATCACATATAGAATAGAATTTTTCTTTACCAGTCAGTCAGAAAGCACTTACTGTGCCAGACAAATCTGTTACTGAGGATATGCAGAAGGGCAAACACAGTTCCTGCTTTGAAGAAGCTCACAGTCTGATGTAGACATGCAGAAACCTATGTACAAACAAGATATCTACAGAATAAATTGGAGATAATCTCAATGGGACAACTTCCTGCAAGAAGTGGAATTTTAGCTGAGACTTGGTGGAAGCTAGGAGGCAGAGATGAAGTTGGAGAGAATTCAAGACATAGGGGATACCTTTGTTGTTTCTTCCATCTATTGAAGGCCAAAATCATCGAGAGGTCAAGAAATTATTAACTGTTCTGCTTTTGGCAGAGAGATGACTTCAGATGTCTGGATTATTGACATAGCCCCCATCCTTATTATATAATATCCTCCTGCCAGGCTTGAGATAATATTTTCCCAACTGCTCATCTGTTTCCTCTTTCTGTCCAGGTTGTCTATGGTATACTCAGATAATAATGTATCTTGTATTTCTGCTTCTGTTCCTCTTTACTATACTTCTTCTCTTTTGCAACCTGAATATCTTCACCCATTTGTCTTTATCCCATCCTACCCTTTCTCTCCTTTTATCAGTTCTATCCATTTTGATTTGATTATACCCTTATACAGTTATAATCTAGTCTTGAATCCTATCTCTCCAAATTTCCATGATACCTGTGATGTCAAATTTCCCTCTGCCTTAGGATCTCTTAGTTTAGCTTACTCTTGTTACCCATACTTTATGAATTTGTGTATAGACATCTGAGGGGTTATAGATTTTATTTTTGGAGGGGGATTTTTATCTCTTGTGAATTTTTGGCCCTATTCTTACATTTTTGCTACTCTTCATGGTATCTGGCTTGATGGGGAGGGGTGTTTGTGGTAATTTTCTTCTTCCTACTTCCTTTTCAGTTTAACAGTATTTTGCTTAGATTTGTAGGAACTCCAGGCAAATGCATTCTTACCAGCTGTTCTTTGGTGCAGTTCATTCTGAGAGTCCATTATTCTATAATTGAAACTGTGGTCCAGAAATCCAAATCCTATTGTCAGATAACATCTTCTTAAACAGCTCTTCACTCCTCAAATCTGTCTTTCTATTTTGAAATGCTTCCCATCAATTGTCAGCAGTGATGAAAATACCACCTGAGGTATTGCCTAAGATTTCATAATTCATAAAAATGTTTTCTTCCCTCTGACAGTATCATTTATGCCCATAGGAATCCCCAGATAGTAGTTATCCTTACAAGGCTTGGAATTAGGTTCCCTGTCATTTTCTGGATACATGGCTTAAGATGATAACAAACCCCTCTATTATTATCAGGCCAACAGAAAGCTGCCTCAGAACCCCTCAGCAGGAAATCATCAGCTACCAATACTTAGTTCTTTTTCATGTGACCTTTACAGGATAATCTGTCGTTAGATAGCGCATGTGCTTCTATATCATCCTTCCTTTGTATCATCAGTACTGTACAAATTTTAAATGCTTAACGTATACTTCTCAGTTGAACTGAATTGAAAGACAAATGGCTGTTGCCTCCTTAGAGTTTGTCTCTTTCCTCTTCAGGAAGAGCTTCATATCTATTTGGTGGGCCCAGATGTTCAGTTGCCACTTTCTTCTGTTCTCTTATCTCTTAACATAGGTAAAGATTTGTTTTTCCTATTAAAGTTCTTGTTTAAGGAGCTCTTGATTTTCCTCCCCATAGTACACAGTTATATATCACAGATTTACACAGATTTATAGCTCTTCATTTTTTTCTTGGCTTCATTCTTTTTTACTCCCTTTTATTCCATTACTACTCATGAAACAGATTGGAGACTGGGGGTTAATTTCAATTAACAGTTACAGAGATAATTAGCCACAATTTCCTTTTACTTTACCTGTTGTCAGGAAGCTGTAGTGAAAAATGTATATTTAAAAATAAATAACAAAATTTATCTAATTTTATTTAGTGTCTTTGTTTTAATTTTTATCTGAATTCATTTGTGGCTTTTGGGGCTTTACCATACTTTATGTCAGATAGATTATGACTTCCTTTGATCTGTCAACAACATGCAGCTTATTTGCTTGTAGGCCCTACTGTTGTTCCCTAAAGTGTGAATAAGGTATGAGTGGAGAATTAAAGTGTGCTAGTTAGAAATAAAAACAACCCAGATATCATAATTCAAGTATCTATTATTTAAACAGCCTAAGGGAAAATGTATATATACACATGCACAATATGGAGATCTGACACCTTATCCTGAGTGAAATTTATCAAAATTAATTTTTGTTGGAGCATGAACATTCTAGTCCTTTATGGTAAAGTTAACATTATTTAGTGACATGGACACAAATATATATTTATGTAATTATAAAGTAACAACTTTTAATAATCTTGGTGTTTTTAGCATTAATGATTTAATATTGACTCCTTATGTCTCAGTTTTGAAAATTTTGAATTGGGATAGATTGAATGCCTTGTTTCTAAGGAGAGTGCTTATAAATGTAGAGGTTTGGGATTTTTTTCTAAAATCACAGTATAAAGGGACATGTATCAGGCCACAAATATTTAATGAATTTTAACAATAAATGGAATACTGACAGCTATTCATTTTTAATGCAGTCCATTACAATGATAAGGAAGAAAATAATTCATTTTACGGGCCCTGATCAGAGAAAACAAGCAAATGCAGCTTTCCTCATGGGGTGTTACCTAGTAAGTATTTCACTAACTCCTTAATTTAATAAGTGAAAATGTACTTTATGCTCTGCTAGATGTTTTTAATTTGATGCTTGCTTTAAAAAAAAATGAATTTCTTGCTTTTGCTTAATAAGCAAATGTAGAAAGGGACAGGTTTTCATTGTGGTTTTTCTTGGAGTTAGGGAATTGGTGACTTGTACCAGGTGGTCAACTTTCAGGCTGAATTTTTAAAGGGTATAGAAACCTTTTTTATATACAATTATTTTGATGATGTTTACAATTTTAGTATTTTTCAAAGCTTAAACATTTGCTTTAGAAGAAAGGCAGAAAGAACAGATGATGATTATAACATGCTTGAAAATGTTTAGTGCTCTTTTTCTCCATGAGGTAAAATCCAGTGCCAACCAAACCTTTCCTTCTCAAAAACACTAATTGCGACTTGAGCGCACGAAGAGATTCAGAAAAGCTATACACTGAAACTATTCTAAATAACATGGTGATTAGATAATAGCAGATAAGTGTATAGTATGCTTTTCATTTATTTGGAAGGTACGCTCCATAAATGGCAGGTTCCATTCACTATGAAGTAACAGTAAATTGGGTTCTTTTATTTGTGGGGAAAGATCTCGGTAATTTCCTAACATATCGTTGTTACCGGAGAGGCAGCATGGTATAGTGGATTTGAAGGCCAAACTTGAAGTCATGAAGACCTGGGTTTGAGTAAAGCCTTTCATGTATACTAGCTGTGTCATCAGGATCAAGTCACAACCATTCAGCCCTATAGGTGACTTTGTAAAACTATTAAGTTACAAACAAGATTCCCATTTGCATTGTTTGGGGAAAGTTTCCACATTAGTTCTCTACATGATAAAATCATGTCTAGTCCTTTCTTCCTCCACTTTCATTTTGCAATATTTGCTTCCTATGGGATCTACCTGCATGGTATCTAAGCATCTAACTTTCTCCTTCATACTAGACAGCAGAGACTCATTTGAAGTAAATAGGATACCGGACTTAGAGTCAGTGAGAACTGGGTAAAAATCCAACCTTAATAGCTTATATGACCCTATACAAGTCACATCTCTCTGAGCCTCAGTATCCTTATCTGTAAAGTGAGGGGGTTGGACTCATTGGCCTCTACTTCCCTTACACCTCTGGATCTATGATCTAGAAGGGAATAAAGATTAACTATGACCTATAAGAGCCTGGCTGTGTGCTCTTATAAGTCAGCAGACATTCTGTTAATCAGAAAAAGTAGATTTTTAAATATTGCAGTCATTAATTTCTTACTTAGGATGCATGTGTTAGATCCATCAGAAGCTCTTTATTTGATTTGATGCAGCTTTAATATGGGTATAACTTGGAGATATTGCAGGTTTCGTTCCAGAGCATTGCAATAAAGTGCATATTGAAATAAAGTGAGTCACATGAATATTTTGGTTTCTCAGTGCATGTAAGAGTTATGTTAATACAATATTGCAGTCTATTAAGTGTGAAATAGCATTATTCTAAAAAAGAATGCCTTAAATTACTTTAAATTAAATCACCTTAATTAGAAAAAATGCTAACCATTATTCAGCAAGTTGTAATCTTTTTGCTGGTGGAAGGTCTTGCTTCCATCCTGATGGCTGCTGACTGATTGGGGGGTGGTTGCTGAAGGTTGGAGTGTCTGTGGCAATTTCTTAAAATAAGACAAGTTTGCTGCATTGATGGACTCTTTCACAATAGATATCTCTGTAGCATGTGATGCTGTTTGATAGCATTTTACTTACAGTAGAACTTCTTTTAAAATTGGAGTCAATTCTCTCAAACCTGGCTGCTACTTTATCAACTAAGTTTATACAATATTCTTCCATGTTACTGTGTCTCAGGCAATAGGGAGGCCCAAGGAGAGGGAGAGAGATGGGGGAATGGACAGTTGGTGGAGCAGTCAGAACACACAGCATTTTTTAGGTTTGCCATCTTATATGGGTGTGGTTTGTGGCATCCCAAAACAATTATATAGTAACCTCTAATAGTTACTGATCACAGATTACCATTGACAGATATAATAATAAGTTTGAAACATTGTGAGAGTGTGACATAGAACCATGATAGGAGCGGGTGCTTTTTGGAAAATGGTGCTGATAGACTTGCTTGATACAGGGTTGCCACAAACTTTTAGTTTGTAAAAAAATGCAATATCTGCAAAGTGCAATAAAGCAAAATGCAATAAAATGAGGTATGACTATAATAATAATAACTCCCATTCATATCTATCTTTCATCTACTCTGTATATATCTTGTGTATACCTAGTCATTTAGAGACAACCAGATGGTTCAGTGGATAGAGTACTGGGCCTGGAGTCAGGAAGATCTGAATTCAAATCTGGCCTCAGACACTAACTAGCTGTGTGACCCTGGGCAAGTCACTTCATCTGTTTGCTTTAATCACTGGAGAAGGAAAATAGCAAATCACTCCAGTATCTTTGCCGAAAGAATCCCATGGAACACTACTGGCGTGCTATGGTCCACAGGGTCATGAAGAATTGGACACAACTGAATGATATGAACAATATACCTAGTTGTTTTCCATGTTTTCTCTTTCATTGGAATGTGAGTTTCTTGAGGAAAGAGACCATTTTGGCCCTTTTTGTCCCCAGTGCTTGGCACAGTGCCTGACATGTTTGTTGCCTGCCTGCCTGAAGTAGTATGCTAAGTTTATAAAGTTCATTCCTCATAACACACCTTTGAGGTAGATAGAACAAGCTTTATCCTCAGTGTGTGTATGTGTGTGTGTGTGTTTCAGACGTCTGATTTTATCAATGTAGGGTACTGCTAGGGAAGAAAATTGGCATTTCTTAGTCTTAGTCTTAGAGTTGGGACACTTAGAGATTAAGTGATTAACCCTGGTTATATACAGCCAGTATGTATGAGAGGCATGACTTAAACTCATCTCTTTTGCCTCATAGGCCAGCTCTCCTATCAGTCTACACCATCTCCCCACCCTCCACAGTCATTTTATAGACAGGAAACTGAAGCTCAGAGACTCAGCTCAAATGACTTGCCCAAATCAAGTGAAAAGTGATAGTAAACAGCAGTGACTGGATTCAGACTCAGGTCCTAAGACCCAATGTTCAGTACTCATTCTATTGTACCATGTAATTTTACAATTTTTTTTAAGTCAATTGGGGGTAAGTGACTTACCCAGGGTCACACAGCTAGTAAGTGTCAAGTGTTTGGTCCTGGATTTGAACTCAGATCCTCCTGACTTCAGGGCCGGTGCTCTATCCACTGCGCCACCTAGCTGCCCCAATTTTACAATTTTTTAAAAGCATTATTTAGAGTTGCGTGGATCATTTTAATGTCCAGAATTGCAAACTCAAATAAACAGTGATAAATGATGCAATACAGGGAGATGAAGATATATATCTGGGAAAGCCTCATTTTTCTGTTTTTGATTTCTCTGTCTTGTTTCACAAGTCAAATCACCTAGTGCTATGATTCTTCTGTGGGTTGGGCCTGCTGACACAGAGGAAAAACTAATAGGCACTTGCATTTCCTCAGAGGTGGTTTTTTTCCCCCCTAGTAAGAAGTCATGAAAACTTGACTTTTTGCAATAGATATTGCCCTGTATAAAAAAGGAAGAATTGTTTAAGGACTTTGAGAGACAGATACTTTCCTCCTTCTGTGAAAACAGCATTCTCTCTCCCCGTTTTTGGGAGGTCTGGAAATTTAGAATTTGGCAAAGATTTAGGAAGATTTAATTCCTACTAATTATTATGTGTAGTTAGCCAAAAGCTTTGCTGTTTACTGATAGAATTTTCTCTTTGGAGAAATGAACAGTCCTAAGGGAGATGCTTAAAAACGTATGACCCCTAAAATAAATATTGTTATCTGCTCTGTCATTTCCAGTGCTGTTGCTGTTAACCAGAAAGTCAGTTTTGTTTTACTCTTGTATGAAAATAATCAGCCTAGGCCCTCCTTGAGTTAAAGATATTTAATTTCTTAACATTCTGAAAACGTGTATTACCAATTGTTCTCTTTCTCTACTCCTTTTTTCCCTTTCTCCACTCCTTGGATAGCAACCACGTTGTTCATCCTTGGCCCAGAGCATGGGAATTGTACCAAAGCCTTTTATTTAATAGCTCCCTTTCTCTACTCCTGCGGAATAATGTAAATGCTATGTTTCCCCATTGCCCTGCCTCTCCTACCATAAATACTGCCATAGGTCATCTTCCTTCTCCATAACACACAGATCTCTCTAATCTTCTTCCTTCTTTCCCATCTCTCCAACTTTTGTCAAATAACATCAGGGAAATTTATTTCCCTCTCTTCACTCCATGCATAAGCCAAAAAATTCACACTATTTATATCTAATAATGGGGACATACCTGTACCAAAGCAAAAGAAAACTTAAAGTTTTGAAGTGAAATTAAGCCCAAGAAAGAGCCAGTGCTATCAGCTTTCAAAATGATTTAAAAGTGCAAGTGCCCCATCTGTTTCATTATCCTTTTCTATGTATATTTTTCTTTTAGCAGCAGCATTCAAGATAAACTAAATTCCCCTATTAATCAATTTTATTCTCTCTCTGTCTTTGCTGTTGTTTAACTATTGCTAATTCAATAGTGTTTTTAAAATACATTTGTAGCATTTCACTTTTAGAAGGGGACCTCTGAGGTCACTACATTTAAACAGTGGATCCAAATCCTTGTTTTACAGATATTGAAAATGGGACTTGCTTAAAGTTAAATGATTTGCCCAAGCTTTATGTAGCTAATTAATGGCTGAACAGGAGCTGGATCTCCTCAAGTGTTCTGATGCTCAGTGTAGTCCTTTCCAATTACACAACCAGGTTAATGATTTTATTAATAGTTTAACAATCAGTGTATTAATTTTTTATGATTTAATCTTAAAATCTAACCCCTGTTTATAGGATTAAGTAGGAGGAAATGTGGTGAGTTTCAAACATCTGATTCAATGTTGAAATACGTTTATAAATTGGACTTTCTAATAATGTTTAACAGATTGTAGAC